CGTCACAATGGATTTCGCAATGTTCCGCTAGCAAACTCTCCTTTTTGTCCTTCATATCATAAAAATGCCTTCCTACGACACAATGATAATTGCACCAGGACTTCATCGCACCAGTCTGGGGGGCCGGCCCTTCAAGCGAAATGTAAAGGGGCAACATACATACATACATACATACATACATACATACATACATACATACATACATACATACATACATACATACATACATACATACATACATACATACAAGCAATCCATGCGGCTTGCGTGTATGTATGACTTAGAGCAATGCGCATTCACCAGCACAGTACTTCTGGAGTGTCGAGCGGCTAATTTTTAATTACCTCAAAAAATTTTTGCAACCGAACCGACACGCTTCCGATTTTCCAGAGACAGGAAGATCGGGAAGGCGGTTTATTTCCACGAGACCTCGGTAACTGCAAACGGGAACATTTCCTCCACTTTACGCAAGAATGCCGCTAAAAGCAAAGCGTCGTGCTGCATGACGGGGAAGTTGCGAGGAATAAGGCCTGTAATAAAACTGAACTCCTCCCGTGCGAACATTTGTTTTTACTCACTTTTTTTTTTTTTGGTTAGCGAGCACAACATCACAACATAATACCGCCGTGCGCGAAACAGGGACCCCCCCCCCCCCCTCCCCGCAGACATCGCCCGGCGAAGCGCGCGCGGACATAGCGAAACCAGCGGACAGTCGCCGGGTTGTGGCGATTCCTAGCCCCGCCAAGACAGACTCTTCTAAACAAGGGTGAGAAACGAACCGAAAGCGAGGCTGGCGCACACGCTGGGTTCCCGCATGAACCGAGGCATTGACCTTCCCCTGGCTCGCTTCAGGCATCGATCCAATGGAAAACTGCGCCCGATTGCAACGGGATGCGATGCCGCGGCGGCACAGCTTCCGTGCTGCACGGCGAGTGTTCCGATCAGCGACCGCTTTTTTAAGGCGATTCAGCTACGATTCGAGGATCGCCTTGTGTCGCTCGAATACTGCCGAGACGACCGGCTTCTTTTGCGTGCGCGAAACAGCGGTGCGGCACGGTCCAGTGATCAGTGGGAAGGCCGCCCCCCGCTTAGCTCCTGCCCACATCGCAACGAGTAGGAAGCAGGGACGATGCACGCGATTTCTTTTCGCGGCCACAGGTGCCCATCGAAAACGGGCGAACTGGCGGTATTCGCGCGCGCGGAGAAAGGTATCCGTGAAACAAATTCGCGCACGGTTCCATACAGTTTCATACAAAATAAAAAAGAAGAGGGGTTCGAGAAAGCGAGATCCCTCATACTTTTTTTTTCTCCTCCTCCACATCGCGACGGTTCTCTCACCTCGCCAGTGGTCCCGTCTTTTTGGCTCTTTGACTGAGAATCCGCTCCACCACGGCCAGGTTTCCATTGCGAGAGGCTTCGAGGAGTTCCTGCTCTTTGCCCATGCTGCGGAGTATCCCCGAATCGCAGGTATCACACACTCACATTGCGAAAGCACAGCTGATTAAGGACGACGCACGGCATCACCACTCGCACGGGAGGATACATCGCAGAGCGTAGCTGGCGGAGTCGGGGAAGATGGCTTCCGTTTGCGCGGTGGTGGTTTGGTTTCGAACTTGTTCATTTTGTATATTTTGATTTAAAAGTACAACGTTGTTGTTTCATTTATTATTGTATTATTGATTTTTACACTTTCTTCAAGTTGTTTTGCAGTTTTATGCATACAAAACTGAAGCTATGACTTAGCGGCTCACCTATCGAGCGCGCTCAGCCGCGGGGATGTGTGTAGTGCCTGTTGTGAAAGATGAGTGGCTTTCGCGCAGTCATATTAAATGGTGCTAATTGACGTAGATAAACTTTGTTTGTGAATTTTTGGCAAGATGAAGCCCACTGTGATCGCGTTGTGCTTTCTGTGTCTCTTCCACGATGGAGAGTCTAAAGGTAAACAGCTCTCGAGTGTGGTACAACGCCATAGGTCGGTTTCCCGCGAGTGATCTTTTATCTCTGTGCCAGTTGAAGTTGGTCTTGAAAGGAAAAAAAAAAACTGATTTGTGAAGTACCCGATTTTTTGTAATTTATACGCAGATTAAGTCATCCATAAGTGAGAAAGGCAGTGACACAAAAGGTTTATTACCGGTTTAATCTTTTTGTTATGACTTTCCATTCTTTATTTCTCTCGCTGTTTGTTTACATGCCGTTTCTTTTCTCTCTCTTCTTTTAATGTTGCATAATGTTTACATTTTCCTTTGAAATCGGTACTATTGTCGATCCCCCTCGTGGGTATGAGCCAGTTCTCCTTAAGCGGCAAAACGAAACAAAGGTGCGTTTCGACCGAAGGGGCGTTTCGACCGATGACATCACAAGTCAAGTCCGACGTGTGGTGTGCTTAGTGCTACAGTAATTCACACTCATTTAACGTCGCATTTCATCTTGCAGGCGCAAACGCGTGCTCAGCGAGGCATAATCAGCTGAGATAACGAGTTAGCACCTTGCTTTGACGCCGCATCCGGTTCACAGTGTCCTAACTTTATCTCCGACTCATTAGTGTCTACCTGCAAAACGTTCGTGCGGCAGCGATTGTCCGTATTATCTGATAAGCTCACTGTAGGTCATGCCGAAAAAAAAGAACGAAGCGCATCGTGGAATCACAATGCCGGTAATTCCCTCCGTTCGATCGAGTGTACGATAGCGCAATCGAATGTGTGTCATGTCCTTTGCTGATGATGCGGTCGTTGGCGTAGGGGGGTTAAGGGAGGGGGTTGCTATGACTTGTGAACTCGCCTTTATCAGTGCGATTGACGCCGTAGGGTGCCCTAGATATCACTTATTAAGTTGTACAACAGCTGTCGTTAAGGGTATGTCAGAACCGACCTAAAATTGCTCAGTCATCGCTGATACTATCCGAAGCACGATCATAACAGGCTAGATGCCTAGACTTTTTGCCTAAACACAGTAACTAGCCGACAAAGTACTGGGGTTTAAATGTTTTTCTTCATAAATTTATTACAAATTTTCTGTTGGCAAGCAATATCGCTTTTCGGCGACCATATATTTTCTTTTCTATCGTCAAAGAACAAAGACACAAGAAGATGCTGGTGAAAAGTGTATAACGGGAAGAACTCATGTGCTCGATCCTACTCACTGCTTAATGTCGTTATAGGCCCGCAGTTCTGTATATAAAGTGCGAATAGTTTTCGAAAACACAGCAATGTCATGCTAGTCATAGACCATAGACCTTCTTTTAATCAACATACTCAGTACACAAAGTGGTCTCAGTCTTGCGAATTTGAGGTCTCCTCCTGTAACTACATATCTGATATGTAATGTATCACCATGGTGCTTCGAATAAGTAAATCTTGAATCGCCTTTGTTGTCTTAATGCATAGTGTACAAATGACGTCACAGACAGGTCTTCAACACTGGGTACCCAGACAGGGTAGTCACTGTGACTTTGTATCTCATTAGGTTGGGTCAGTGCAGGGGAGGACTTGCAGTCGTTTGGTCCCCCATTCTTTTGTGCTGCCCACCAGCCTTCTTCTGTTCACCAGCTGCGCAAAGAGTGAACACAAAGGAATGCAATGGGCACTAACACTAATTCGACGTCGCAGTTTCTTTCTCTGCACGTTCGAGTATGAGTGCACATGGCGTCTAATCCCAGGTACCCAGACATGGCTGCCACGGTGACGTCAGTGCACACTATCTATATAAAAGAGGCGGCATGATTCTTTGTTTGTGCAATATCACCAGTATTACCCCGACTTACCCTCAACCCCCGTTTCTCGTTGCAGGTGAACTGAATGCGTCTAAGGAATTGGTGTCGATGTGTCGAGTGGTTTGAGGACGTACCTTGTGAGGACTTCATTACCCGGACGATCAGTGACACCATTTCGTGCGTACGGCATACCATCGGATGCAACCTATTTCTCTTCCAAGCACACTCGCAAAATGCACCTGTGACTATTGCGTACAGTGCCAAGACACCTCCCGACACAACAGCGAGTGATACGGGAACCAACACTGGCTTGGTTGTCATGCTCAAAGCATGGGATACGGACAGCACAACCTACGTCCACAATTCAAATATCGACAATGTCACTGTGCTTCTCGTGGTGTCCTTGCACGGCTCGAAAGGTATTCAGTTGGTCTGCATTTCTTGTGTATTTCGCTTTTCATGCATGAATTAGAAGACATAAAATCTGCATCAAGTCAAGTTTATTGGCTAAAGCTGTTTGAATTATGTGGTAAGATTGTTACTGCCAAAATTTTGACACCTTCGAAAGAAGGAAAAAAATTAAGTGCTTGCACAAGACGCTCAGTGCTCAACACAGCGATGCATGGGCCCACGGACACTCTTGCAACCCACTGACTGACACATCTAGCCTCAAATTTGTGGCTTCTTTCTTGGAAGTACGCATTTAAGGATGCACCATGACTCTCGACACAATCGGGCTCAGCCAGTCTATGCACTGTAGTACAGAGGTTGCCCGCATTGTCTCCGTTCTTAGGCGTGGCTTAGCCAGCGCGCATGTATGGCTTGGGCAGGTGGTGTGCAATCTGGTCATTAATCGATACGATGCTAGCTTCTTTTTTTATATCTTCTCTCTCTACTTCTTTCTCTCTCCTTCATTAATGTTCTCAATGTCTTTTTTTTTTTCATGTTGCTCACTCTTTGTTTGCTACGCTTTACTGTGTCCCCTCCTTCTTCCCCTCCTTCTCACATTCACTTCCCTTTCGCACCCCCTTGCTACATTATACTACACAAGGCTGTACTGCGCTAGTGTGCCTTAATGGCTGAGGGATTAGGAAACTTGCCTTCGAATCAAAAATGTGCAGGTCCGAATACCGCCTCATGAAGAAGAACAACAAAACTTTATTTTGAGGGAAGGGGTAGAATAGGGGTTCTAGGAGCATGTTGGTTGGGGCCCCAAGTCCAGGGCACCACTGGCTTGCACCGCTCATCTAACATTTCTCAGAAGCACTAATTGCACCTTTGGGTCCGGGCTAGCAAGTTGTGCCTCCCACCCCTCTAAAAAAAAATAAACTGATTGGACCTAACTTTAGCCGAGAGCTTAGCTTTAGCTCGAGATTTGACGAACCGTGCGGAGCGTCAACCTCCCGCGATCCAGTCCCATTTAATGGCCCCTCATGCAGAATTTTTTAAACTGAAAAACTGTTTAGTAAATTGTTTCCTATGTGTCGAGCACAAAAAAGCCATGATGATTTTGACGGGTCTGTGCCACTTTGTGGCATATCAAAAAAACATCATAAACAAGTATGTGCCACAGAAATTGATCAGATAAATCCCACAATTCGCCCCATTAGTAACCTAAATACTGTGATACTGCAACCTAAATACTGTCTGGGCTCTGCGCAGCTAAGTGCAGACTTCGATCCATTTTTTTTTAAGAGCAAAGCTGTTTAGCAAATCCTTCCCTGCGTGTCAATGCAGAAAACTATCATTATCACAAATGCGTATATGCCAAATAAATTGGGAAACTCCTACTACCCAACACTGGTCCGCTAAAAACGAAGAAGGCAACAAATGGCTGCAAAGCTAGAGCAGTGAGCTAAAGAACCAGAATACATACAAGAGAATTCTAGGGAGCGTGCAAGGCAGCGGCAGCTGAGAAGACCCCCGAAGCAATGGAAGGTCTATGCAAATGTGCTCGTGTCGTGTCTGCGGTTCAACTTGAACCTCTCTGCACTGAGAATCGACATCAAAATAACCTATCATCACTTATCTAAAGCTTAGCAATAACCCAGAAGCTGCATCACTTCACAAAGGCCTAGAAGCAATCAGATTAGTCTTCAGAATCATCCACTTTTTCTGTTTCAAACCTTGTGTGGCTTACTGCAAGTCGCGATTTTTTTTTTCTGCAAGAATTTTCTGGTTCTCTTACTTCATACTATTCTGTCTCTCTGTACTTATTCTCACACACGTTAGGGTTATTGCAGGCACCACAACGTTGAGTTATGGGATTGGCCAAACTCTGTGGCATATACCTGTTACGGTGGTAATAGTAGATGAGTCGATATTTTAAATCAGGGCTGGCTTAAGTGGTCTTGCAATTAACAGCGCTACAATAAGTACCTCCAGCGCTTACTTAATACTGCAATTATACAAAACACCAAAAAGTATGAAATGCAAACAGTGAGTATAACAATTATTTTGATTACACCAGTGAAATTAATGCATTGGTTAATAGTAAGGATAACTGATAAAAAATGTGGACAAAACTGAAAGCATGTCAACAAGTATGATAACAAAAGTAATATGGTTAATCAACCTGACGTATACATATATTGATTCATTGTCAAGGGAAAAGACTGCAGTAATACGTTCAAAGTGTCGTACAGATGTTGACATATAACTAGAAAAGTCAGATATGTCAGTTCATTTATGAAGGAAACTTTCTGCATGCAGTGAATGAATAAATATGGTGCC